AGAACATACAGAAAGTTATTTCCCCTTCAGATCATGTATGGCATACAACATTGCAATATTATGCTGAATACATAATCTATTATACTCTACTAGGAAAAAGGCTCGTTGTGGAAATAAATACAACGATCTCTAGAAAGAGGCTCTGGGCGGATGCCCCAGCCTTGGACACTCAGTGTCAATTTGCTGTGGTGACCTCAGCAGGGTATAATGACACTGAGTCTAACATTTTCTCCAGAGGAACTGATCTCTGCTACCTAAAGAACAGTTGTAATTTTGAGTGATCTCCATCCCTCACCTGGAGATTGGCAATGATGGTTCCCCAGAAGGGAATGGTTGGTTTGGAGGGTGGAGTCTATGGCTTTGTTGTTGTTTTTTAAACCAACAAAGTTTATTTAGAATAGGTTGTACATGCAAAAAGAGAAGAAGAAGGTTGAAGATCAAAGAAGTCTAAACATTTACAAATCGAAAAATATATCATAAACCTTATGAATTACTCAAAAATTGATAGTTATAAACCATAAACCATAAGTTGGTTTTTTGCAGTAGAGATTGTTTCCCATGTAAATTTGTCAATCGCAATCTTGTCCAGTATCGGGTTCCATTTATTCAAAGGGTCATAAAAATCACACTCATTTTGTCTTTCAGGGTTATAGATGGAGAACTTTTCTAACAAAAACAATTCCCAAACTTTATGTAACCATTGTATAGTAGTGGGTATTTTAATATTTTTCCATCGTTTTGCAAGAACCATCTTGGCAGCTGTAAGTAAAACATTTATTAAATTTTTAACTCTTGGAGTATATGTGTCGAGTGGCCAAAGATTTAACAAAATTAAAGATGGATCTAAAGGTATACTATACCCTGTTAGCTTTTCAATTTGTGCTATAATTAGCTTCCAAAATTTTTGTATATGCATACAACTCCACCATAGGTGAAAGTAATCAGCTTTTTTGCCGCAAAGTTTCCAGCACAACATAGATGTGTTACCATATATATGCGATAATCTCGCTGGCGTTAGGTACCATTGCATAAAGGTTTTAGTTGATGCTTCTTGTATATATAGAGATATTGAGATTTGTGATTGTGTTTTCCATATGGTTTTCCATTGCTCTTCTGTGAGCTCTTTCTGTAAGTCCTTATGCCATGCATTTTGATATATATGCATTTTGGGGGCATTCACAGTTTTTTGCAATCATTCCTTTCTTCTTGTATGGGTGAGTCAGAAGCTTTTCAAAATTTGTGAAGGGGTTTGACATAGTTTGTTGAAAGTTTGTACTCATAATCAAATGTCTTACCTGTAAGTATTCAAACCATTGTAATTTTGTTTTGTATTTCCTTTCTAGGTCTGTTTTGGATAAAAATTTGCCTTTGTGCAGAACGTCCGTAATACGTGTAATATTAGCTGTTTTCCAGTTTTGGTAAGTATCCTTGTTTTTAGCAGGTGGGAACCAATTTTGTCCTGTAAATGTACATAGTTGGGAGTATTTGGAAGATATCTTATTCTTATATTGGTACCATATTTTAATCAAAATTTTAAAATAGGGGTTTGTTATTCGTTTTTGAGCATCTTTTTCGTTATGTTTCCATAGCAATTCTGGAAAACTATTATTATATGTGGTAAGTATTTCCATAGGTTTCCAATCCGGTGCAGCTTCTACGTGATAAAAGCGTATTAAAGTGGCAAGATTAGTAGCAACATAGTAAAGCTTTAAGTCTGGTATTGCCAAGCCTCCTTGTTTTGTTGGTTGACTTATTGATTTATGTTTAATTCTTGGGAATTTAAATTGCCATAAAAATTTATTGGTATCTGTTTGCCATTTCCTGAATAATTGTTGATTGAGGTAAATTGGTAAGGCGCGAAAAAGATATAAATATCTTGGAAGAACATAGGATTTAAGTATACTAATTCTATCAAACCAAGAAAAAAAATTGTTATTCCATGAAAGCAGCTGATTGTTTATATTTTGGTGTAAAATAGAATAGTTATCTTTAAGCAAATTATTTAGATCAAGTGGAATATTAACTCCTAAATATGGTAACGATTTTTCTATCCACACAAATTGATAGGTTTGTTTCAAAGTTTTAGTTATTTGGTCAGAAAGTTTAATGGGGTAAATCGCTGTTTTTGTTTGGTTGATTTTCAATCCTGCTATATGTCCAAATTCATTCAGTTCTTTTTGTATTTCTTGTAATGACTTAATTGGGTTTGATATATAGACTATCATGTCATCCGCAAAAATGCTGGTTTTGTATTCAATATTGTTAATTTTTATTCCTGAAATTGATGTATTTGATCTTAAGGCACATGCAAGAGGTTCCATTGCTAAAATGAACAAAAGGGGCGAGAGGGGGCATCCCTGTCGAGTTCCCCTAAACAAAGAAAGAGTCTGGGATGTCATTCCATTGATTAATAAAGTAGCTTTAGGCGATTCATATATTGCTTGAATAAATTTGCAAATGTTTGGGCCAAATTGTAAAAATTGTAGTAATTGATTTAAATATTTGATTTCTAGTGAATCGAAGGCTTTTTCGATATCTAGTGAAAGCAATAATGATTGTTGCAATGGGAGTAATTTGGCTTTTTGAATTATATTTAGTGTCTTTCTAATGTTATCGGTTATGTCTCGAGACGAGATGAAACCTGTTTGGTCGTGATGTACATATTTTGCAATTATATTTTTGATTCTGGATGCAATAATTGTAGTAAAGATTTTATAATCAGTGTTGAGGAGCGATATTGGTCGATATGCCTTAGGGTCAGAAGTATCTTTGCCTTTTTTTGGCAACAGAATAACATTTGCTGCGCTCCATGTACTTGGCATCTTGTTTGTTTTGAGTATTTCGTTACATGTCTCTTGTAGTAATTTGTTTAATTGTTGGCTGAAAACCTTATAATATTCAGCTATAAAGCCATCCGGCCCTGTTGTTTTATTATTTTTTAGATTTTTGATTGCTTGATCGATTTCTTGTATAGAGATTTCTGCTTCCAATTGTTCAAAATGGTCCTTACTAAGTTTGGGAATTTGACTTGATTTATTTAGATACTTTTGGATGTTTTCCATGTTTGGGTTTGTTGAGGTGTATAAGTTTGTATAAAATTTTTCCATTATTTGCATTATGGCTGTTTGAGAGGTCTTAATTTCTCCTTTTTCATCCTTAAGTGCTGCAATATATCTCTCCATTTGTTTTTGTTTGATCTTCGAGGAAATGTATTTTAATCTTTTAGGCGTCTTGTTTGTAGTTGCTTGTCTTGTATTAAAAGTTTGTTTTTGAATAAAATTTGAGTCTAACATCTCCAGTTGTTGGCATTTAATAGACGTTTATAATTTTTTTGCCGCATGTTCTTTTATGTAATTCTTCAAGTTTTGCAATAGATTGCAAAATGTCTTGATGGTGTTTACGTTTTTCTTTTTTACAGCTCGCCATTAAGGAGATGCATTTTCCTCTCATTACTGCCTTGAGCGTATCCCATAAAAGGTGTGCCGGATAACGGTGTGAAGAATGAGTTTGAAAAAAGGATGAAATTTCAGCATGTAGTTGTGTTTTCATTTTAACATCATACAATAAAATTTTATTAAATTTCCAATAAAATTTATATTGGTCTCTTTTGTTTGCGTTTAAAATCAGTTCTACCGGAGAATGGTCAGACCATTTAGAGGTGCCTATGTTGGAAGAAGATGCTTGATTTAAAAGCTCTTTAGATATAAATAAATAATCTAGTCTTGTATATGTTTTATATTGATTTGAAAAATAAGTAAAATCCCTTTCATTTTTGTGTTGTAGACGCCATATATCAAATAACTCATATTTTAATGTTATTGATTCAAATTGTGAGGGAGTATTTCTAATTTTCGTAGTTCGGGGAGATTCATGTTTTTGGGTCTTTGAACATTTATCTAAATTTTTGTCCATTAAAAGATTAAAATCTCCTCCCAAGATTACTGGCCCCTTTTTAAATTTCTGGAGCTTTTCTATGGTTTCCAATATAAATGAGTTTTGCATTGAATTGGGAGCATATAAAGTCGCTAAAGTCAAATAGTTATTATTTAGTTTCCCATTAAGGAAAAGGTATCGACCATTTTTGTCAATTTCTGTATCTAGAATTTGAAATTGTATATTTCTGGCTATTAAGATAGCGACACCTCTAGCCTTAGGGGTGCCTTGAGCTAGTTTTTGAATAGAGAACCATGCTGATGGCAATGCATATTGTTTGTTTTTTAGATATGTTTCTTGTAAAAATACAATACTGGTTTTTTGTTTTTGTAACTCCCTTGCTATGCGTTTGGCCTTTATAATATTATTAATCCCCCTACAATTAAGGGTGGTAATTTTTAATTCAGCCATCTATTCTATATTTTGGTTTGATTAAGTCAAGTTTAACAATCCCATATAGGGTATGGGCGCCATAATAGTTTTTCTGTTTTGTTGTCTCTTTCAAGAATATCCAGGAGTCTTGGATTAGTATCAAAAAATTAAGAGATCCATCTATATCCTCCCTAAGCTTATCCTGAATATTGTAGTGGAGAATAATACATATAGATTCTAGGATTACTTTAGTCTTTGGCATAAGGTAGAGTGTAATATCCTTATTTACTGGATTATCAAAATAACACATCCAATATTTTTCCTTAAAGGCTTAATTTCTAAAATCTATAAAATCCTTGTCAACACCACAAAACAGACAGCTTTAAAATCCCAAACTCATTGGGCAAAAGATTGCCAAAATAGGATTCAACAGGATCAATGGCCAGACATATGGTCATCACCAAACCTTTCTTCCAAAACCTTCAACATCATATTAACTTCCTTCAAGACTCTACACCGATGTTATCTGACCCCTGTACGTCTGTGCAAGATCTATTCCGTTTGTGATGACAAATGCTGGAAAGGCTGTGGACAACCTGCGGACTTTCTTCATTGTTGGTGGACTTGCCCCTTCATCCAACCATTTTGGTCTCTTATCTTGACTCAAATTAAATCCATCGTAGGAATTGACTTACCTGCTCTTCCGGAGACGGTCCTCCTAGACATCCTTCCTGATACCTGTGAAAGAAAAACACAATATTTTTCCTGAAATCTTTTATAAACTCTCTTGAAAATGTCAATAACCTTTCCAGTTACATAGTAAATTGAACCCTTACATTGAATATTAAACTTTAGAAACATTAACTTTTCATAGAACAAAACCCTTTTCCCTCTCCTCTCCCTCCCTCCTCCCTCAAAACTAATACAGTATATTAACTCAAAAACCATCATAAACATCCCCCTTCCCCCCTCCCCCCTCTTCCCTTTGCAGATCCCACTGGTGGGAGAATTGCTCCCCCAGAGCAAACGGTGCTCTCCTGTGGGAACTGTCAGCTTGCAAATTAGCATACATAACAAAAATAATATTTGCCTTGTCATCGGTCCCCCAACTGCCTCCACTCCTTTCCTCCCTCCTCCCCCCTGTCACACATAGTTAAACTAGTATAGGTTCTTCTAGACTTCCATACGTATAATACAGGTAGTAGCACATTCTTGAATACTTTACTTAAAGCTGCACTCTGCGTCATGTTGGGATACGGCTCCATTTATAAGGTGAGCTCTGTTCCTCTCTCCCTCTCTTCCGTTTGTTTTGTTGCTCATTTTCCGTTTCCATATCTTCTGGAACATGTAATCCAAGATCTTCTAGCAGTTCAACGCCGGAGTCATAGTCTTCTGCTTGATAGGTTTTGCCTCTCAGCCTGATCTGAAGGTATCCTGTGATTGTCCATTTATACTTGATTTTCGCCTCTTGCAGTCGCTTTGTGATGGGTTTTAGATCCCGTCTGAGTTGAATCACCTCCTGGGGAATATCCGGGAATACTGAAATGTCCTTTTCATTGGATTTGAGGGGGCCCTTGTTTTTGGCTTCTTGTAAGATGTATTGTTTTATCGGAAAGTCCAAAAATTCGGCAAGAATGTCTCGGGGCATTTTCCTTTTCTCATTGTTCTTCTGGCCAAGTCTGTAAGCTCTTGTGATCATCGGGGCAACCTCATCTTCAAACGGCATGATTTTTACCAGCCAGTTGGAGAGGAATGATGTTAAATCTTCTGTGCCCTCCGCCGATTCCGGGATGCCTCTAATTTTTAAAAATCTCTCTCTGACCCGGTAGTCTAGCATTAATATGCGTTCCTTTGCCCACGCTTGATTTTTTTGCATTTGTTGTATATTATTCTGGTTCGCTATAGCTGTTTCCATGGCTGTATCAGCTGTTTGCATAACGTTTTGCATGGAGGTTTTTACAGCTTCTATTTGGTCCGCTATTGGTTTTAAAATCTCATTTAGGTTTTCAAGGATTTCGTTTTTAAATTGTCCCAAAGTTTCTCTAAGGTATTCTTTCGTTATATTCTGTGCTGCTCCTGTGTCTTGTGTTCCGCCGGCCACCATTTTGTCCACTGTAAGTTTTTCTCGTCCCGCAGCTCCGGTTGCGCTTTGCGAGGTAAAGAAGGTATTAATCTTGTTTTTATTCAAGTCTCCTGGTTTGTTCTTCTTTTCTTCGAGTTTTCCCAT